CACCCTAGCCCAGCCAGTGTTGATCAGTGGTTGAACCAGGAGGTCACAGGCACATGCCTGGGTTGTGGGTTCAATCCCCAGTGTGGGACGTGCAGGAAGCAGCCAATCAATGATTCTCTCTCATCATTGATGTTTCTATCTCTCTCTCTCACCCGTCATCTCTGGAATCAATAAAAAGATATTTTTTTAAAAAAAGTAATGGTGCTTTATAGATTATATGCATTATTAAAGGAAATAAGGGAACTTTTTCCTAAATATGCATTATGTAAAAGAATGGAAAGATTATTTATATTCATATCTTTTAAAAAATATTTTTATTGATTTCAGAGAGAAAAGGAGAGGGAGCAAGATATAGAAACATCAATGATGAGAGAGAATCATTGATTGGCTGCTTCCTGCATGCCCCACACTGGGGATCGAGCCTGAAACCCGAGAACCGAACCATGACCTCCTGGTTCACAGGTCGATGCTCAAACAATGAGCCACTCTGGCTGGGCTGTATTCATATTTGCATCGTGTGAACAATACCCTTGGGAAAGGAGACTGTGTCTGAGGTGAGTACTCTCCAATTCTGAAATTACGTGCAAATAAAATGAAACTTCATTTGTGAAGCCAGGCCCTTTCTCTTCCATTTAATGACCAGGATTCCGGAACCATCTCTCTTTCTCATCTCTCCAGTTTGGTGAACCAATGTTCAGATTGCAAATGAACTGAGAAAGAGCAAGGATGTGAAATGTGCACACTTCTCCCACAGCTGGTTTTGGGGGAGTGAGGTGGGGAGAGGGAGGGGCACTCTGCCAATTTTAGTAATATTCTGTAACCATTCCCTGCCATTCCGTTGTAGAGCTGAACGGTATGACAGATGCCACCGGCACCAACTTCCAAACTTTACACTGAGGAAGCAGGTGCTCCAAGGCTGCGACATGGCAACCTGGTGGGAGCACTGACTCCCATCTGAACTCTCGAGTCCTAATCAAAAGGTCTTTGGTCACAGAATGCCTCCTCGGCCACCGGAATGCAGGCAGGGACCCTAACATTTAGATGAGAATTTGGGAAGAGGGCTTTAGCAGCGGTTCTCAACCTGTGGGTCGCGACCATCGGAAAACACATATAGCATATCAGATATATACATTACGATTCATATCAGTAGCAACATTACAGTTATGAAGTAGCAACGAAAATAATTTTATGGTTGGGGGTCACCACAACATGAGGACCTGTATGAAAGGGTAGCGGCATCAGGAAGGTGAGAACCACTGCGCTAGAGAATCTCACCCCAACTCTTCCCTACAACTTCATTCCCCACGCCCCTCGTCTAGCCTCCCCTGAGAGACGCCCAGCTTTAAGTCTCGCAGGAGTGAGATGACCAGCAAGCTATCGGGTCTGCTCCACATCCAGGTCGGGTCCCCTCTGCAGGGGAGGCTGGCAGTGCCCTGTCCTTGGGACTGGCATTCCTTGGGCTGCCATCACTGCCTGTCATTCTCCTAGACCAGTGATGGCGAACCTTTTGAGCTCGGCGTGTCAGCATTTTGAAAAACCCTAACTTCACTCTGGTGCCGTGTCACATATAGAAAAATTTTTTGATATTTGCAACCACAGTAAAACAAAGACTTATATTTTTGATATTTATTTTATATATTTAGATGCCATTTAACAAAGAAAAATCAATCAAAAAAATGAGTTCGCGTGTCACCTCTGGCACGCATGTCATAGGTTCGCCGTCACTGTCCCAGAATGCCCCGCCAGGCACTGTGCTCCCCAGGAAGCGTGGCTCTGCGTCTCTGGTCACCAGCAAAGTCCAGCTAATGCTGCAGTCAGAGTTAGCCTTGGAGGCTTAACAAGGTGACACTAAGGCAAAGCGGAAAGCCCCATCGCATACCTGCCACTGCTCAGTCACAGTGAGTTCCATGCCAACCCTGGGAGCGTAATTCCACATGCCTAGTTTCTTTCTTTTTTTAAATAGATTTTTATTGATTTCAGAGAGGAAGGGAGAGGGAGAGAGAGTCAGAAACATCAATGATGAGAGAGAGTCATTGATTGGCTGCCTCCTGCACGCCCCCCACTGGGGATTGAGCCCACAACCCGGGCATGTGCCCTGGACCGGAATCGAACCCAGGACCCTTCAGTCCACAAGCCGACCCTCTATCCACTGAGCCAAACTGGCTAGAGCGCCACATGCCTCGTTTCAATAAGGCAGATGGGCACACGCCCTTCTAATCACACTGCTTACTAACTTTTAGCATGAGGAAGGTAACGAAGATCATGTACAAGCAGTATGTCATCTAAAAAACATCGATTTCCCTAAGGATCTAATTAGAGAACCAAGGCAGAGATACCCAGAACTATACAACTGCCTCACACAGACACACACATCACCCGCTCCGTCCTCACCAAGCCCTTCAGATAGTCATACAAGATGCTCAGACACACATTAGCGCACACATTCACCCACCGAGGCTCACACTGACACACAGCAAAGCGTGCTCTCAGCTACACAGTCAGGTATTTCCATGGAGCCGCATTAACTCCCCTTCCACATGCACACCCCTCCTGAATCCCGCTCTGACATCGCTGCTTAGCCTCACCCTGCAGGGCAAGAGCTCCCTTGTTTGGAGGGAGCATGTCCCCTCAGTTCTCACAGCGACAAGCGAGAACGCATGAACCTTTGAAGGCAAAACCCCAGCTGCCCAAACACCAAAGCACCTTAGCGCCCATGTTCATGCAAAAAGAGAAAGATGCCGGTGCCAATCTACTTCACACATCGCTGCAAATGACCAAGCCTGCTTTCCTCCCTTTCCCGAGATGTAGCAGATGGGTCAACAACAACAGTATTTTCTGTCTCAAAATGCGTGCATCCAGCTATTTGTAACGTGTAGAAATTCACTCGGAGACCCAATAAGGTTTCCAAGACACCGCTCACTGAGAAACATTAGCAGCAGCTGAAATTTCTATGACTGCGCTCCCCTTTAGCCAAAAGGGGGGAACATACCTGGGAATCATCAGCAAATGGGAGGGGGTGGGAGAGCCCCCAAGGCTGGTTCGGGAATAAAGCGACAGGGGCTGGGGAGGCGGTTTCCCATCTCACAGCCCCAGCTCCATGCAACCTCAGGTATCCATGTTGGCAGACATCCCGAGGGAAGCCAGTCGGGCGCCTTTTGGTCACCGGGGCATCGGCGAGTGTGGCTGTTGTTGGCACTGTTACTGTTCCCCGCATTCCGCACGGCAGGGCGCTGGTACTCACCCCAGAAGACGAGTAGGAAGGAAGCCAGGGGGAGCGCTCCGCGGAAGGCAGGCATCTTCTTAGGGGGTCGCCTCCAGGGCTAAACAGCGGCTCCCTCCACAACTGCGCCCTCGCAGACACTTTCGAGGAAACCCTTTGGGACGAACTGCCCCAAGGGGGCGACTTTCTCGCTGAAGAGGCCAGGCGTCCGCGACCGGAGGCCCCGCGCGACTGCGGGGCCGCGG